AAAAAAATTGTTGAGCCGTTTTGGCGGAAGTGACGAACTGCTAGCTTTGAATGCTTATATCTTCTAAATGCGAATTTTGTCACTGTTTTGGAGCACACTGCCTTATAGATAACCTTAAGACTAACATATTGATACTAACACCCAAAAAAAACTTTAATTTTGATTTCATGGGGACTTTAAAAAATGTTTTCACAATGCAGCTGTGCTTGCTGAGTTCTAGTACTGATTTGATATTTATCATGCACATGATCCACATGTACATCCTACAATACTAAGAACTGTAAACTATAGGCAGATGAATGAAGTGCTATGTGATTTGTGTACCCTGATATCCTCCAGTTTGTACTCCAGCGAGTCCTCCGGTTCAGCCAGAGCAGCCCAATCTTCATCGTCCTCATCGTCCTCCTCTGGTCCATCCACGATCACCTCCACGTACACCATCTTCTCTGAAATATGGCTGAAGCTGTTGTCAAAGCAAATCCTGTAGTCGCCCTCCTCAGTGGGGTCCACCCTGACAGCAAACCCCCAACACACACAAAGCAAGATTACTATAATGCACATGTCTTGACTTTGAGTAATATTAGATCAAAAAATACAATCCACACAATAGAAGTCAATGGTCACTTAAACTGGTAACAAATATTTTTCAAAATATCTTTTATGTTCATAGTCAAACCTGTGGAAGCTTATTTCTGGATTAAAACGATTTTGACTTGTTTCCTTGGAATTCTGACTTTACATCTCTAATTTCGGAGAAAAAAAAAGTCTAAATTGCAAGATATAAAGTCAGAATCCAGAGAAACAAAGTCAAAAGAGTGAAATGTACATACAAAATTCAGAGAAAAAAAATTATTAAAAAATTGTCAGAAAAAAAAAAAGTGTAAATTATTAGGTGTGAACTCAGAATTCAGAAAAAAAGTTAAAATTGCGAGATTGTGAACTCAGAATTCTGAGAAAAAAAGTCAAAAGTACAACATTGTAAACTCAGAATTTAGAGAAAGCCAAAATTGTGAGTTTATACATGCAAAATTCCAAGAAAAAAAGTACAAATTGCGAGAACTCAAAAGTCAAAATTATGAGATGTGCACTGAGAAATCTGAAAAAAAGGTCAAAATTTCAAGTGCAAGTTTTTAACTCGCATTTCAAAGTCAGAATTGTGATATAAAAAGTCGCAATTACCTTTTTAATAGTTTTATTCTGTGATGGAAATAAGCTTCCATTCAAACCGGTTTGGAATGACATCAGAGTAAATAATAACAGAACCTACATTTTTGAGTGAACTAACCCTTTAAGTATGCTTTTAAACGCTTTACTTTTCATTTGACAACCTGGTAAAGCAACCAATGCTGTAAACAGGCAACTGTTTTCTGTAAATTCAGTTGTGGTCACTGTCAGCCCTGCAGCAGCAGACAGCATGCAATTTTGCAGCAGAGGACATGCAAATACTGTGGGTTATGACAGTCCAAAATTATGAGTAAATGTTTCAGCTTTGTGCACTATGGGATGTGAAGCTTACGTGTGTATGCCATCTGATTTTCTGAAGTCGGAGACCAATCTGTATCCGTTCGGGGAGATCAGAGTGAAGCCGACGTCCAGCCCTGAGCCTGCAATGACCTGTTAATATGGGTGATTGATAAATGAAACAGCATTCACAACGCACATTTTATTTCTGTAATGTGACATGCATCCGAGTGCAACAGGATAGTCAATGAGGGTAAAAATACACATATATAAATTCAAATTAGAGGTCTCCTATCTTCCACAGAATGATAAAGCAGCCCATTGAGGAGGCAGTGTGCTGTTACTAGAGATAAAGTGTGGCAAACAGTAACCATGTAGCACTAGAGAAACCGTGATCCTTCCAGCAGATGGAATGAGCTTTGGGCCGGGTCAGATGTCCTGCAGCTGTGCCTGTTTTTAACGTAAAGCGGGATGGCTCCACAAACACACCCCAGACATGTGGTACAGTGAATCTTCAGAGAAAGGTCACAACACAGGGCTGGACTCGAATAACTAAAAGACAGTAGCTTCTGTGAGTAAACAGGACTGAATGAGGATTGCTTAACTCCTTAGTATTCAATTGACTTTGATGTCAATAATATTGAACATCCCACCAGAGCTGTAGAGAAGAACCACAAACATGAAACCAAACCATACACACACTGTTCATGTTATATTAGTATGTGATCATCACAGGAGACTTGTGGCTTCATAAGTACAGTCATTCATATAAATGCACTTTGACCAAAACATGCACTGTGAAAGGAAATGTCCTGCTACTTCCTGGTCATTACTGTCAAGCAAAACTGCAATGTAATGCAGTAGTTAATAAGAACCTTACTAATAAATAATATTTAAAAATGATAAAGCAAAAGTTAGAACACAAACAACTAGACAGTTTTGACAATGTACTTCTCAAACTTGCTGACTGGTGTGGCCTCTCGAGTCATTTCAAATAGGTTATCATTTTAAATAATTGAAATTAAATAACTGAAATACTTTAAATGTTTTATTGACCTGGTACTCCACTTCCATGCTGCCGTTCTTAGTGGCTGTTTGGAAAAAGCACTCGGTTGCTCCGGGAGGTAAAAGGAAAGTGAACTCGGTGTCCTTATTCTGTCCGAATGCGAATCCCAAATCCACGCTGAGCGTCAGAAAGAGCAGCAAACACACTACGAGACGCGTCTCTTTACACCGCTCCATTACTTTGCTCTTCAGAAACACACTAGAGCAGCTGTTTCAAACAGCCCGTCTGCACTGCGAGCGGCGCGACAACGCTAGGACGCTATCATTGCCTTCTACACTGCAAGAACATTGTTTGGACTCTTGTGAACTTGCGGTGACAATCAGCCGCGCTTGAAGTTTGATAGCTTCGCTGATAATTAACGCGTAGTAGTTTTCCCGCGTCGCGTAAAACGCGCAAACAGCCTCGTTGATTTGTCCACTGGGTTCCGACGTCAAGAGTCAACGCGCGCCTGTGTCGTTGCGTCGCAGTGCAGGAGACATTGCATGTTCTAATGTTATCATCGTGTTATAAGGTTAAGTTTTTCTGTTATAAGTCACGTTTGTCTATTTGTATCGTACTCTATGAGAAGCTTGTAGAAGTAGCTAAATCTGGCCAAAGTTTTTGAGCGAGCACAATGTCGTAGTCTTTTTTTTTAAACGTTTTGCCCCCATAGGCCTACAACAAAAATTGTTGTATAGGGCTTGCTGTACTAATGTTAGTGACAAAAACCTTTCTGCAACGCTCTGTGAATGTTATAATACTATAGGGGGAAAACATACAGTAAATGCAGTGTAACCAGAACCAGAATGTTCTGTATGGGTATAATGCTGAACATCTATGTAATGTTTTGAAAAAAATATTTATGGTTATAAAACTAACAAACTCATAAAGAACCTTTCAACAAGTGGCTAAAATGAAATGAAGAGTTCAGATGTAAAAGTCTCTAAGTGTCATCTAAAATTTTCATCTAAAATTATCATTTTTATCAGGCTTTAGGTTCAGTAATTTTACTTTAATGGCAATGAATGTATAGGTCCTTTTCTATGCAATTAAAGTGAAATAACTGAACATAAATATAGGGAACTGATAAAAATGCTAATTTTAGAAGAAAATTTTAGACGGCACTTAGAGGCTTTTGCATCTGAACTCTTCATATACTGTTGCAATTTTTATTTAGTTTCATACATCATGATCAACAATCACCCCAGGAACTAATTTTGATGGTTATACAAATCCTGATATTATAGGCCATGCTTGCTTGGCTTTGGAGTGAATTGTGAAGTTTGTCAAACAATGACAACACTAGACTTATTAAAGGGATAGTTCACTCAAAAATAGAAGTTTTGTTATCATTTACTCACCCTCATGTCGTTTCTCACTTATAAGACTTTTGTTCAACTTTGAAACACAAATGAAGATATTTGAAATATTCTCTCATAATTTTAGTCCATCCTTTGAAAGGCCACACAGCAAACATTTTCATTTTTCTGAAGAGACACAATCACTTTATATGATGACTAGCTTAAATTGCATCATCAAAATGTCTGCTTGACACACAAGAACCAGTAAGTGTTGCTCTTGCATGTCAAGTAAGAACGTTGAGCTTATATTTAAATTGTAATTATTTAAGGTTATTAAGGGTTAACTTTTATTTAAATATACATTATCTATGTATCTCTAAACAGAAGTCCATGGTAAGATAAATGTGTGTAAATACTACTGTAGTCTATCAAGTTCTTGACACATTGAACAGACGGTCAGTCGTCGTTTAGCATCTGACAGCTCAGTTTTTGCTGTGTCTTCCACACCATCAGCAGTTGTTTAAATTGATGTCAGGCAGTCGGCAACATCATTTAAGTGCATCATTCAACAACGTCAATAGCTGGAGGATGGAGGACAGAAATGTCTGGACTTCAGCATTGGTCCATCTTTAGCCATCTAAGTGACGTGTGGCTAAGTAGGGTGTCCCATTCCTGGAATGTATGCTCTGCATTTAACCCATTCAAGTGCACACACACACCATGAACACACTCGCAGTGGGCAGCCATTTTTGCTGTGGCACCCGGGGAGCAGTTGGGGGTTCGGTGCCTTGCTTAAGGGTCTCACCTCAGTCGTGGTATTCAAGGTGGCAGAGAGCACTGGTCATTCACTCCCCCCACCCACAATCCCTGCCAGGACCGAGACTCAAACTTGCAACCTTTGGTCTACAAGTCTGACTCTCTAACCATTAGGCCACAAATGGCAGATGCCAGTGTTTCGTATGGCATGCATTCTGCCAATCAATGTTCAACCAATCAACTTCCTGCAGTGCGAACATGCCAAAAAGTGGGTACTTCCGCCAATAGTTATAGGAACCCTAAAAAAAAAAACCCTAAAGCGACTAAAGCAAGCAAACAAACAAGTCAGGAGTGCACAGATATGATGATTTTAATGTTACAACTTCAGCTCACCTGAGCATTACAATATGCAAATACTTTAATAACAACATGGACATTTGTAATGAAGAAACTGAAAACCATTTGAAATAATAAGGAAGCGATGATGTTTATGGTTTGTATAGCCACAGTCCTAGTTTCACCAAAGCCAATAGAAGGCAAGCCTGCAACCATTAGCCAAAAAAAGTGTAACGGCTAATGCCAACGGAAAGGAAACCAGAGGCCGTTTTTGTTTTGAATGGATGTCAATGGAGGAGAGGCTTCACTACGCTGAATAAACAGCTTTTAAAGGGTTAGTTCGCTCAAAAATTAAAATTCTGTCATTAATTACTCACCCTCATGTCGTTCTAAACCCGTAAGACCTCTGTTCATCTTCAGAACACTAATTATGATATTTTTGATGAATTCTGAGAGCTCTCTGACCCTCCCATAAACAGCAATGTAATTACCACAATCAAGGTCCAGAAATGTAGCAAGGATCCATGTGACATCAGGGGCTCAACCATAATTTTACGAAGCTACGAGAATAATTTTTGTGCGCAAAAGAAAAAAAAATAACGACTTTATTCAACAATTCGTCTCCTCCACGTCACCCTGGTGCCATTTTGGAGAATATCCATTGAACGTAAACAGCGTATGCTATTCTGTGTCAACTGCGCCACAAAGGAGACGAATTGTTGAATAAAGTCGTTATTTTTGTTTTCTTTGCATACAAAAAGTATTCTCGTAGCTTTGTAAAATTACGGTTGAACCCCTGATGTCACATTTGGTTTGGTTTGGTTTGTTTATTTATATAGCACAATACAGCAACAGTCGTTGACCATTGTGCTGTACAATAAATTCTGTCTATGGGAGGGTCAGAGAGCTCTCAGATTCCTTCAAAAATATTATTAATTATATTAAATATTTGTGTTCCGAAGATGAACAGAGGTCTTACGGGTTTAGAACGACATGAGGGTGAGGACTTAATGACAGAATTTTCATTTTTGGGTGAACTATCCCTTTAAGAGGAATCGGCTTATTTATTGAATTGACAGCGTATCTGCTAATCTTCAACATGTTTTACACTAAGCAATACTTTTGGATTGAACTATTTTTAAGAGTTTACCACAAAAAAAAGTCGTTTTACAAGAGAAATCACTGACTTTTTGCGACAGGTAGGATTCAGCTTACGGCACTTCTCATTCATTCCTATGGTATCCGTAAACGCAGATTGAGTGTCGTGCAAGTCTGCCTGAAAGTCAATGACGTCAAGGCTGTAATGTGATTGTTATGGCACATGTGATCCAAGTTAGCCGTTACGCTTTCTCCAATAGTAAGTAATACAGACCCTCTCATATCCCTATAGTACGATAATCTCTGGCTTCAATTTCCCTCTTTGAATGGCAAATACAGACTACTGCCCCCTATTGGTATGGAGAGTTATTTCCTCTCACGCAGGCACAGAACGTACATTCTGCGTAGTTGACCTTTGGATGTAGTCTTTGACGTGTGTTCAAGTGCAACTTTTTGGCCCAGACGCAGGTGACAACACAGTCAGCTTTCATCACCACTAGCTCTTTGAGATAAGTTTCATGTGTCACAAGCTAAGGCATGAAGTCAAAAGTACATAAGGACTGAATGAGTATTCTGAATGAGACAGCTCTCTCTCTCAGTCTGATTGCAGTTTTATTTTTGTCAGCTGAACTATACTTGTGGTTATTGTTCTAAATATAAGGATGAAAAAGAAAAAGACTACATCAGCCTGTATAGAGTATCACTACTCTATTGTGTTTTTTTTGCTCCAAAATGAACTTTCTGTCTTTTTCCTACAGCAAAGTTACTTAAAACTTTATTACAGCTAAAATTACTTCAAAAAGTGTGTGAGAGTATGTGTGTGTTGTGTAGAGTAGGGGAAGCTGTGGCTGAGAGCTGATGCACAGGAGAGAGGAAGGTGTGAACGGGTGGGCCTGTTGCATGGCCATGAACATGCATTTATCTGCTTGTGTAGGCATTTGTGTGTTCCACGTCTTTTCTGATTCCCATTTAAGTAGATTCCACTTCCAACCCACTCAAATGGAATATGTCACGTTCTGAAAGACAAAATATCTGACACTTTATCACTGATTACTTTTTTTTTTCTCGTTTTGAAAACTAGAAAATTCGATTTAAATGTAGCACTTATTTCGTCCCACATTTCTCAAACTTGCAGATTTTACTTTACCTGTCACTTGAAATAACATTACAGGAGATTTTGAGAGTGGTCTGACTTTTTTTTTTGGCCCCACTGGAGTGTGCTTTCTCACACCGTCCGCCCGCCTGCAGCTTTATGAGTGATGGTTATCTTTCACTCTCACTGTGGTCTCGCTCTCACTGCGTTGCAGTGGGTCTTCTTGCACCTCTCTGGATGTGCAGTTGTCATCTCTGAAGTGGCCAGAGACGGTGTGTGCGCACATGGCTCCGGGTAAAGTATTGTATCCTTCAATATTCGTGGTGGACAGTAAAATGAAGCCCCCTCCGCTGCCCCCCAAGCCGGGCTGTAGACAGCGGAAGGATGTGATCCAGACTCTACTGGTGATCCTGGTTTGTGTGGCGCTGTGTGGCCTGGCTGTGGAGGCTTGTTTCATCTACCATCTGTTCACATCAAAAGAAAACTCTGTAAGTACCATTTGGTCCAACTTTCTGAAGCATCGCCGTCTTGTGTACTTTCATTCGGCGTCGTACTTTCACTCACACTATCAGTTCATCTAATCTCAGTTCATCTTTTGTTCATCAGTTCTTCTTTCAAGTTCTCTTCTTTCCTGTCTTCTGTTTCTCTTTTACATGAAGAATATACAGTAGATTATGTTATTTGGTTGTTGACCTCATCGTGGTTTATCACTTTTAGCTACTTTCAGTTATCTGAATCAATAAGATACAAATGACTATAATTGAACTATAACTGTGTAAATATATATTTCTGCTGCTCTTTTGAACTTTCTATTCATCAAAGAATGCTAAAAAAAAAGTATCAGTTTTCACAAAAATAAGCAGCAACTGTTTTCAATGTTGATAATAATGAG